CTAGCTTTCGGCATACACTGGACTTATTAAAGTTTACAGCGTCGAGAGCTTAATCAGTTGTACGAACGATTATCGATAAAATCCCAGCAACGTTCTCAATAATACGATTATAATTAATAACAACTACAACACCAACACCGCTCGTACAACACCATCTCCAGGAGTACGGCGGAAAATGGGTAGAAGAGGCGATTGGATCCTAAGGTCCAAAGGTGTTGATAAAGATGAGTTCAGGATTGGGGAAGCTGGGAAAAGTTGGGAGGATGAAAATGGAACGAAGTTTCTTAAAGAGGCAGGACTAAAACTACCTAAAATACTAAAAGATATGTTAGTAAAATTGATGGAGAAAGCAGGTTGGGATAAGAAGAGGTGTGCACAAATACAAACAGTTGGAGTAATTCATGCTGGTACGTTCTCCCTGTGTCTGCGATCGGTCGGTAGTTTTTCTAGCTAATATCTTTAATTAATAGGTTTGATGATTATGATGGTCTACCTGGACAACCCAAAAGGCTACATCTGTAGGCTTCGACGTAGTAGACTGATGGAGGTTCCAAACGATGAAGAAAATTTTTCAGACGTTTTGGAAATCCTGGCATCGGCTCTGAATGTAAAGGTTAGAGTCATGCTTTCCTTTTAATGATTATGTACAGTAGTGTATGTGCTAATATAAGCTGACATATTCAGGCTGCAGTTCGAGAGATGATGAATGCAGTATATACAAACAAACAACCGCATAAATCGTTTAAAACAGCCGAGCCATTCAAACGACCTGACGACGACAATAAGCACCGGATATTTCCGTGCTTTGACACTCCCAAGGCTAAAGTCGTCAGGAATTATATCCATCACCGGCAAAATGATCGTTATCCACTGTGTTCGATTTATTTAGTAGATTTCATGTAGATCATTTTGCAATTCTAGTATTACGCTAAGTCCGATTTATTATTTATATTTTATTGGATATAAAATACTGCGGTAGTTAGAAATTGGTTATAAAAACGATCCTTCCTCACAGCTGAAAATATAACGTTTTGGCAATTAAATGAGTTTCTAACTCTTGTTCTCAAATAAAACTCTAATTACCGGTAAACGAAATCCAACCGTCCCTAATTGTAAATCAACATGATTTACCCCCCTGTATAACGTCTCTGAAAATCGACGATTAATGCATAACGAAACATCGTTAGATTTTTGTCATAAAACTTTGTTAGCTTATTGCAAGCGATTTATTATTGAAACTGATTTGTTCGAATGAAAGGATAATAAATGCAATTTATAAGTTATTTAAAAAGCTCTCGTAACTATAGTACATGAAGAATAACACCGTTTTAAAGTTTATTCATTAAACGGATCATGTTTATACAACGGAGCAACGTATTCGCTAGGAAGATTTATGTAATTATAACAAAGCGATAGATACATTTGCTGAAGACATCTTGTATTCGGTACAACGGGGCGAAACTATTCGCTGAGAAGACTAACGTTCAAACAAAGAGTTAAGAATGTTGCGTTAATATTATTACTTGTATCAAAACAAGGCGAGTCTTTCCGTCGGCTCGTAACGTAGTGGTTTCACTATGTGTTCC